GACGAAAATATCTATAGAATTAAATTATCATACATTCAAGTGTCTAAATAAAAATTACCGATAAACTTAAAAGTCTGACTATGTTCATCTTAATTATTCTTACGTCTCAATATGTGATGTTACTTCATAGTTAACTTTTTTTTCAAAATAATATATTAAAAGTTTTAAAACAAATCATAAATATTCATAAAATTATATTTTAAAAAAGTGCATGAATTAATTCAGGGTGTATTACTTCTTTACCGTAAATCATAAATTTCTAATTCAATCTTGAAAGAGAATCAAATTGAAATTGTCCTCATAAATAAGCGGTTTTAGTAGTGTTTATAACGATTTTGATATTATTGTTGAATTATTAATTGGGTGGGGTTTAGTTAGTAATGGGTGGGTAGTGGGTTGGCTTATAAATAATACAAATAAATTAAATTATAACCAATTGTTGAACATGAAGTATTTTAAAAATATTTAAATAGTTTAAATTTAAAATCATTAAATAAGTGGTCGATTTTGAACTCAAAGGTGGATGACAAGGGTATTTTGGAGTCAATAGGTGGATGAAAAGGGCATTTTGGAGCCAATAGATGGATGAAGGGTAATTTTGTACCATTTTCAATGTTTCAAGGGTATTTTAGACTCTTTTCCGTGGTTAATATTAAAGTGGGGAAATCAATTGGTATGTGTTCAATATATAAAGAATGGCGGTTTCTTTCTAAAAAAATTTCGTTGTTTTGTATCAACCCAGGGTGTATTTAATGCCATTAATGACCATCATTCTGATGGTGTACATTGACTTAAGGGTTGATTTTTATGTTATTTTATCATTTTATTATTATTTTAATTGATGGAAAAAAATAAAAAAGGGCAAATGGCAGTGTTGCATCGTTACTTTATATGGCAAGCATGGAAATTGGTTATTTAAGATTTGTTTTTTTTTAAAAAAAAAAGGAATTTAGAATTGAAAAATTGGATGGCAGAACGTTATTGGGTTCTGGGTTATTGTATTGGGAGGAGACAGGAGTGACTGCCAATCATTGGGCAATCATATGCCAATGATTGGCATTTGGTAAAAAAGAACAATAATTTTTTTGAATCTGACA